GATCCTCCATCCCTGCTTATCTAGAGTTCTTGTAACCTCTAGGAGAGAGTGGACTCATTGTAAGGAGCAACAACGTCGATGGTAGCGTCGGCAGCACTTTTGAACCAATTATCTTATTATTAGTAGCATGAGCTTTGAACTAATAATTTAATAAACATGGTAGGTATTTGTAAAGTTTGGTGAGTCTTACAAATACTTACCATTTACATCTAGTTATTAGTTCAAAGCTTATGCTACTAATGACAAGACAAATGGTTCAAAAGTCAAGTAAGATTTATAAGTGAAAGAGTTTAAGTTTTCTTGGATTAGTCAGTGTCTAAGGCAAGGTTTGGGGGTTGCGTAACACGCTCCGCAAGGAACGAGGTACTTAATTGATCTTTGATCAACCTCTAATACTTTCCTTACCTGGCTGAACTACTCGAGTAAAACTTTGATCTTTTCACCTAGAATCCTATCATGTAAAGGGGATGGCTGATAAGTCTTAATGGGTCCAAAGCATTTCGGATGCGGGGTGTTAGATAGGAAACACACCTAAAGGACTCATCCAGAATCCTATAATGAGAGAGGATGGCTTTTAAGCTTTAATGAGTTCAAAGCATTTCGGATGCGGGATGTTTGATAGGAAACATGCCTAAAGAACTCACCTATGCATGGGTAGAGATTTGGCCGTCTTCTATGGTGTCTTGTGGAAAGATACCTAGAGCCCTAGCAGAAATCAGGACATGCATAGGGTCATAAATGTGCAAAGGCAAAAGCAAGACAAATGCAAAGGCAAGTGTGGTTCAAAGTAAAAACTACCACAGATGAGTTTGATCTTGTGTGATCGCTGAATTTTTAGACATGTGCTGGTTCAAGTCTTTGCGACACCTTGCACCTATCTTTTATTCAGTTGGTCTAAGGGGATTCAAGTCCTTGCGACATCTTCCTTATGCACACGATTGAAACAACGACACTGTTACACGATACTTTAAAAAAATGTGGGGGATTGTTGGATATTTTTTTTTGTTTTGTTGTGACAGCCGCCCTCGTGTTTAAGCAGCCCTTAAATCTTTAGCTTTTTCTTCCTCACTTCTTTGACAAAGAAGTCACAAATTTTGAAAATGGGAAAAAGTGATGGGTCCCACTGAAGAATTTTTAGGACGTAGGCCCCACATGAATAGTAACTAATATTATTTTATTAGTGCATAGTATTTTTCCAAACGCTGTGCTTAAAGCATTATTTGGCCTACTCCGGTGCAAGGATCCCAAGGTCAAATTGCTTTCAGGAATAGCAGTTCAGTACTCTGGTGTGCACCGACCCAGTACTGTCAAGATCTCCTCGATCTATAAGGCAAAGATCTCCTCGATCTATCAGGCAAAAGATCTCCTCGATCTATTAGGCAAAATTCCTATAAGCACTAGCTATTTTACAATCTATATCTGTATATATATTGATTGTTGTTTTTGGAATGAATTTTCCTTAAGGATTTGAGGTCTATTTATAGCGTTTGGAAAAATATTATGCACTAATAAAATAATATTAGTTACTATTCATGTGGGGCCCACGTCCTAAAAATTCTTCAGTGGGACCCACCACTTTTTCCCATTTTCAAAGTTTGTGGCTTCTTTGTCAAAGAAGTGAGGAAGAAAAAGCTAAAGATTTGAGGGCTGCTTAAACACGAGGGCGGTTGTCACAAAAAAAAAAAAAATATATCCAACAATCCCCCACATTTTTTTAAAGTATCGTGTAACAGTGTCGTCGTTTCAATCGTGTGCATAAGGAAGATGTCGCAAGGACTTGAATCCCCTTAGACCAACTGAATAAAAGATAGGTGCAAGGTGTCGCAGAGACTTGAACCAGCACATGTCTAAAAATCCAGCGATCACACAAGATCAAACTCATCTGTGGTAGTTTTCACTTTGAACCACACTTGCCTTTGCCTTTGTCTTGCTTTTGCCTTTGCACATTTATGGCCCTGTGCATGTCCTGGTTTCTGCTAGGGCTCTAGGTATCTTTCCACAAGGCACCATAGGAGACGGCCAAATCTCCACCCATGCATAGGTGAGTTCTTTAGGAAGGTTTCCTATCAAACATCCCGCATCCGAAATGCTTTGAACTCATTAAGGCTTAAAAGCCATCCTCTCTCATTATAGGATTCTGGTTCTCCTTTCTGTTAAAAGACTTCAAGGGCTGGATCTGTCGAGATTGGTCCACGTGGAGGAGAGAGAGGACATCTGATCGAGGAAGTCATCATGGACATGGAGGGTAGGGCTAGGGTGTTGGATCTAGTTGTCTTGGAAGTGGTGCTGTTGAGGGCAGAGGCCATGGCTTGCATTTCTTTGCTGCGAGACTGTGTGGATACTAGGTTTAGGGTTAGGGTTTTGAGATCTAATGAGAAGAGAGTGAATTGTGAGGGAGCTTGAAGAGAAGAGGAGGCATTCGGAGACACCCCCACGGGAAATTAACTGATTCATCTTCGAATCAGTTGATTTGTGGAATTTATAGCTTTCATATATAGACGAGACTGGTAGTCCCGTATAAATCATAGTAACCAGATTACCTTAATTACAGATCACTAATTACACATGACTATACTATTCTTGTGTATTTCGAAGACTATATCTTGCAAAATCGACCTCTTTTTGGGCAATCTTGATGACATATGGCCATAAAGAGGTCGATTTTGCTTATTATTTAGCAAAAGGGTCATTTGTGCTATTTACTTTTCAAAAAAGGTCTTTTTTTTAAAAAAATTCTTTCAAATAATAGATATTGAATTGAAGGGCTTCATTGAGTCTCTGGTCACCCTCACTTCATATGGTAGATAGAGATTGAATTGAAGGGCTTCATCGAGTCTCTAGTCACCCTCGCTTCATATGGTAGCAGAGCAAGCATCTTTCTCCCAAAACCCTAAACCTATATAATAAAAATGAGACGAAAAAGAAAACGAAACCCTAGACCCGAGCTGCCATCGTCCCTAGGTTTAAATCCTACCTCCAAAGGCGATTAAAGAAAAAAAAAGTACTGCTGCTGCCTGTGTCTAGGTTATTAGGGTATAAAATTATACCTCATCCGAACCACCACCTTGGAGTTTTTCATGCAGTGTAAGGGATATTAAGATTAAGAAAAGTGATGAACTTTAGGGAGGTTTTATAATATACATTTTGAATAGGACACCTCACCCTATTTTCTCTTAAAAGAAAAAAGGAAAGGAAAAAAAAAGAATAAAGTGATGAACTTCATTTCAATAACTGTAGATACAACTAACTCATATATGATAGTCGACATGTGCTTTCATCCTTTGGGCATATGAAAGAAAATTACAGAAGCTTTATGCAAGTACCCTAACTTGTGGATAGAAGGATAGGGTTTGTTACTTTTTCTGTAGTTTAAAAAGATGGTTAAGACAAAATGCTACAACTTGCATGAGATATGATTTCATGCGATCTCCCTTTTAATGAATTACATCTTGCGTTGTTCTTTCTATTTTATTGTTTATCACTGTTGGAGAAATGTTATATAGTTAGGGTGATTTAAGCCTTCTGGATTTCCCCCTGATTCTGTCATCCATGATGTTTTCAATGTTACAGATGATTGATGATCAGGACTTGGGATTCTTTGCCAATTTTCTCGGCATCTTCATTTTCATTCTGGTTATTGCGTACCATTTCGTGATGGCTGACCCGAAGTACGAAGGGAACTAATCTCATCTCTAGCTTTCATGGGGCAGACCAAACTTGTTATTGTTCCTTCTTGTGAAGTATCTATTTCGTCTTCTCTATGTAGCCATGAAACTTTATCCAGTAATTAGCTCGAATGTCTCGTAATGGTTTTTGTACTTTATGCTGAATCATCTGATGAGTGTATAAATAGGTGGCGTGGTTTCCTCGTAATTCTCTCTACTGAGTGCAAATTAACTTTTTGGTGTTTGCTTATGTTACTCTAGCTTTCGTTGTGATACTTTATGGAGCAATTCATTATACTAGTTCATCTTTTGCTGTTAGTTACCTTCAAAGAGAATTTATCGCAGAGATCATTTGTATCTTGTGGCTTAGCAAATCTTCCAAATTTAACGGTTTCTGGTTTGCTAAGGTTTGTGATCTATCGTGCTAAGTTTGATTTAGCTCTATAAAATTTGTCCAAGCTTATTAGAGAGGACCTTGTTTTAGATGTGAAATTATGACTTGGTACGGTTCACTCGAAGTTTTGGAGTTATTTTGGTGTAAAGTCTTGCGCTATGCAAAGTTCAGATTCATTCTCATTTCTTGTGATGGCATTATTGCTACCTTTTCAGTCAACCATTCACAGTTACAATCATAGTTAACCTCGCCTCTTTATGCATCCTAGTTTAGAGGAGTCCGGTAATAGAGCCAAGATTGGGTCTGTGCAAGTTCTCAAAGGCATCCCCATGATTATTGAAGGCCAAAAGTGCAAGTTGAATAATTCATAAATTGGCGGTTAGATTTTTAATATTTGTGTGAAGCCAGGCAAACCTTTACTTTCTCGTTGTTGTTTTTTTTTTTAAATTTCACGTTTAATTTTGATTAATTGCCACGGTTACGATAGTTTGACATTATCGGATAATATAGTTGAACAATAACCCATTTGCCTATGAGTGTTACAATATACAAGCGAAGTAATACATTGGTCACACCGCAGTAGACTCGGACGATTAGGAAGTTTCAATATAGCTCCTACGGTTTTGGATTTAATTCTAAGCTGAGTTATAAATTAATAATAATAATACATTAGACTAGGATGATCCGACTGTTTTCGGAAGCAGCGGCGAGCTTGCATTTGGTTGAAAAGCATAACAAAGTTGATTCTTCCTTTACTTAAATCTTTTTGTTTTCGAATTCATTAATATGGCTATTATATGGTTATAGTGTGGATTTGAACTCTGGATTTCCACCATCTAATCCTTCATTAGTATATTGCAAGTAGCAAGTACCTGCTCCACCTAGGAGAACCAATTGGCACTTAAATTCAGCAAGAACCCAAAACAAATGTCATATTTAAAATTTGTCTCAAGAATTGTAGTTTTGCAATAAATTGATTCCTTATATGGGTTTTTTCTTGCATGAAAATGAAGCACGGTACTGAGCTCTTTCTATAGAACAATTTGAGTCTTTGCATCAACCACTCGGTTGGGAATGAGGAAATGTGGGTCTCAGTATCTGCTTTCCATTCCAATTTTCATTTTATTTCCCAACAAACTAACCAAAAAGATTGAATACGAAAAGGAGTAAAAATTTTAGAAAATGCTTTTTCGGACCTTCGAGAGAAGAAACGAGGTTTGAAAGTCTGTGACATAGAAATTACATGGAAGGTTGTTGGGGAATACCCGAGACTACGCTAAACCTCTAAAACAGCAGAAACACAGTATAGAGAAAAGTACACCAAAATTTAACGAGATTCAACAAACTTGCTTATGTTCTCGGGAGCCACACAATTAATTTCTTATTAATCAACAAGAAATTACAATATAAGAGCAGATCTCAAACTTGGAATCTTTCAATAAATACAAATCAACACTGTAGCTACAGTGTTATCCCCCCTAAAAAAATATTTGAGAGCTGGAGAAATTAAATCTCCCCTCTTAATCAAACCCCATTCTCAAAATATCCAATGAGAGGCGCTGGAGATAAAAAGAAGAGGAGCAGAGGGGAAAACGCCGTCGCCGCTTGGGAGAGAAAACAGAAGAAGCACCCCATCTCGTGCTAGGGGTTTCCCTTTTATAGGGAAACCCTAGCGCCAGCTCGAGACAGGCTATAAACAGCCTGGATCCCATGTTCGAGCTCGCCTGTGGACCGCCCTCGCCTGCGCCACGTTCGAGCTCGCTTGATGTCGACCCCGAGCTCGCCTGCATCTGCGTCAATCTCGCCTACAATGGCCTCGAGCCCGCTTACGAGCTCGCCTGCGGATCTCCATCGACCTCACCTGAGCTCCTCGGCGTCGTCTCAAGCTCGCTTGCAGGTTTGGTCTACACTCAAACCACGCCCTCGCCTGCGCCACGTTCGAGCTCGCCTGATGTCGACCCCGAGCTCGCCTGCATCTGCGTCAATCTCGCCTACAATGGCCTCGAGCCCGCTTACGAGCTCGCCTGCGGATCTCCATCGACCTCACCTGAGCTCCTCGGCGTCGTCTCAAGCTCGCTTGCAGGTTTGGTCTACACTCAAACCAACAATCTCCCATTTAGAGACCAAACTGCCGTCATCAGGCTACCTCAACAAGCACCTTCTCCCGTGTGGCTCTACCCTCATCACTTATACATGAAGGCCAACTGAAGTTGCGCACAATTCTAGTTTCTGAATGGTCACTGCCTTTGTTAACATATCCGCTGGATTTTTACTTACTTAGATCTTCTGTTGAAATCCTTTGACAACCTGTCGGGCTCTGTATCTTCTGGAACCATCATGTTCCTTTTTCACTCGACACACCCACTTGTTATGATGTGCCTTCTTCCCCATGGGTAACTCAGCTAGTTCCTATATCTGGTTGGAGATCAGAGATTGCATCTTTTTTTTCATAGCAAGCTCCCACTTGCTCGCATCTCCACTCTGACAAGCTTCATCATAGCTTTCAGGCTCCCCTCCATCTGCCAGTAACATATAATTCATGTATCTGTTGTTAGGCACAGGAGGACGAGTAGATCTCCTTAATATCGGAGCTGGTGCGTCGGGCTCCTGCGCACCATTCTGTCCAACATGCTCTTCTGGCTGAGGACCTTCTGCATTGGATTCTTCCTAGAGGTTACTCAGGACATTATCTTCATTTACAAATGTTGACTCGCTCTCTGAGTCATTTGTCTTGTGCATATCCTTGTACATCACCTTCTCGTTGAATATCACATCTCTGCTCCTGATCACCTTCTTGTTTTCGTTGTCCCAAATACGGTAGCCGAACTCATCTTCACCATAACCGATAAAAAGTACATTTCTTGGACTTGGATCAAACTTATTCTTGTCTTGATCACTAATATGCACATAAGCTACACAACCGAAAACTTTAAGATGTGAGAGGTTTACCTCCTTTTCGCACCATACCTCTTCTGGTATTCTGTGCTCCAATGGAAGCGATGGACCTCGGTTAATCAAGTAAGCTGATGTGTTGACCGTTTCTGCCCAGAACTGCTTCGGTAGGCCTGATTGTATCTGAATGCTTCTGGCTCTCTCTGTTAACGTTCTGTTCATCCGTTCTGATACACCATTGTGCTGAGGCGTGCCGAGCACGGTTCTCTCTATTCTGATCCTGTGCTCATAGTAGAACTTTTTAAATCTGATGTTTTCATACTCACCGTCATTGTTGGTTCTGAGCTTCTTTATTCTCAGACCGGTCTTATTCTTGACCATACCTTTTCATCTTTTGAAAGCATCAAATACTTCTGACTTATGCTTCAGAAAGTAGACCCATACTTTCCGAGAGTGACCATCGATAAAAGTCACAAAGTAGTGTTTCCCACCAATTGACGCGGTGATGATTGGTCCCCAAACATCTGAGTGAATGAGCTCAAGCTTCTCCTTCTTAGGGGTTCTGCCACTTGTCTGAAAGCTGACCCTCTTCTGCTTTCTAAGTATGCATTCTTCACACATATCAATCTCTACTGATTGTAAACTTGAGAGTTTTCCTTTTGTGTGCATGATTTTCATCCCCTTCTTACTCATATGATCGAATCTCTGGTGTCATAACTTTGAAGTCTCATTGCCAGCTGCAACTGAGATTAAACAATGTGCACCTGCTATCATATACAAGGTACCATTATTCTTGCCTCGGGCAATCGTCATTGCGTCTTTTAAAATCCTCCAATCATCACCATGAAAAGTCATAGTGTAGCATTCACTAGACAGCTGGCTTACTGAGATTAAGTTCTTTTTCAGGTCGGGAATATGCCTGACATCCTTCAGCTCCCATACTCACCCGTTCAACTTAATCTTCACTACATCTTTGCCAATAATGACACACGATTGATCATCACCAATGTATATATTTCTAAGGTTTCCGGGGATATACTTCTCGAGGAATTCTTTATGAGAAGTAGCATGGAATGATGCTCTAGAGTCCAACACCCAAGACTCCTCCTTGCTCTCCAAAGAGCATACCAATGCATCATCTCCTCCTAAGGTGGAAGCAGCATTTGCATCTGCCTTTGCCTCCCACTCCTTCTGTGCACTATTGCACTGATTCTTGTAGTGCCCGGTTTTCCCGCACTTCCAATACTCGATAGCCTTCGAGCTGCTAAGATTCCTGGATTTGGACCTCCTATCCTCTGATCCATTTCCTCTGGTTGAATTTTTACCTCTTGACTCTGTATGCAATACTGAAGAGGTTGTAGCTTCACCCGACTCTCTCTGACGGATCTCCTCACTAAGAACCATATCACGAACGTCGTTGAACTTCAACTTGTTGCTTCCCGATGAGCTACTCACAGTCATGACTGTAGCGTTCCAGCTTTATGGTAGGGAAGATAAAAGGATCAACACTCGTACTTCTTCATCAAATTCAATATCAACTGAACTCAATTAGATCGTGACTGTATTGAGTTCATTGAGATGATATGCTACCGATGTACCTTCCATCATTCGCAGATTGAATAACCGTCTCATCAAATAAACTTTGTTTGAGGCTAATGACTTCTCATACATATTTGAGAGTGCTGCCATTAGGCCGAGGGCCTTTCTGTCTAGAAGATTCCAATCTTCTTCCTTTATACCCTCTATCATGAGAGAGGTTGATACATATTTTTCTGATACAGATAATCCCCTATCTGTATTTTCCAGAATCCGAAATCTGATCCATCAAACTTCTCTAATTTCATAGTTTCTTTATTTGTGGTCGTCGCTCCCACTTGAATCTGACTTCCTCTGAATCGTTTCAGTCTCTGATACCAGTTGTTGGAGAATACCCGGGGCTACGCTAAACCCCTAAAATAGTAGAAACACAGTATAAAAAAAAGTACACCAAGATTTAACGAGGTTCGGCAAACTTGCCTA